TTTCTCCATTGATTAGAGTGTTGTTTAATGGTCCACTAGTGACGATTTTTGTTTTCTTTACATTGAGATGTAATCCATACCAAAAGCTGTGATCTTTGATCTTCATCAGTAAGTATTTTAAGTCCTCTTCACTTTCAGCAAGCAAGGTTGTATCATCTGCATATTGCAGGTTGTTACTGAGTGTTCCTCCAATCCTGATGCCATGTTTTTCTTCGTATAACCTAACTTCTCAGATTATTTGCTCAGCATTCATGTTGGATAAGAATGGTGAAAGAATACAACCCTGTCACATGTCTTTCTTAATTTTAAACCATTTTCATTCAGTGTTCCTATATTTTGTTCAAACAACTGCCTCTTGGTCCATATACACATTCCTTGTGAGCACAATTAAGTGTTCCGTAATAATCATACTTTGCAATGTTGTCCATAGCTTGTTATAATCCACACAACTGAAAGCCTTTGCATAGTCAATAAAGCACAGTTAAACATCTTTCTGATATTCTCTGCTTTCAGCCAAGATCCATTGGACATCAGCAATGATATCTCTCATTCCACAACCTCTTCTGAATCCAGCTTGAACCTCTGGAAGGAAGTTCTCTGTCAATGTATGCTTGCAGCCATTTCTGTATTGCCTTTAGTAAAACTTTACTTGCATGGGATATCAAAGATATCAATTTCCAAATTTTCTAGATTCATACTTTGTACATTCCATGTTTCAATTATTAATGGATGTTTACAGCTGTTTCTCTTCATTTTGAGCTGTGCCCATCAGCAAATGAAGATCCCACAGGCTTTAGTCCATTTGCGTCATCACGGTCAACTCTACGTTGAGGAGGCAGCTCTTCCCCAGATGCATTTTGAGTGTGAGGGGCTCATTTTCCAGTACTATATCTGACAGTGATTCTCTGCTATTCATAATGTTTTCAGTGACTAAACATTAGTAAGTAGTTCGTCACTCCTTCTTCCCAGTCTGTCTTCGTTTGGAAGCACATCTGAAACCTGTCCACCATGGGTGACCCTGCTGGTATTTAAAATACCCATGGCATTGCTTCCAGAATCACAGCAACTCACAAGCCACCACAGTAGGACAAACTGACAGATGAGTGGTGGATAGAGTAAATGGGACAGAGGTAAATAGTGATATATACTCAACCTTGGAACCACAGGATTCTATGATATAGGGATCAAGGCATAATCTGAATGGGTAAAAGAGGGGAAATAATGTTAAGGTACTTGACTATATCATGGATATTGGTTTCCCTTGCTGATTCTTGTAAAACAGACACTTGAGTGGGATAGAAAGGAATATCAAGAAATATGATTACGGAAAGCTTGTAAGCCCGTCTTTAGCCTATAACTGATTAGAATACCTAAAAGGTATTCTAGAACTTGCCCTTTCAAATAGGCTTCTTGTGAAGCCTTTGCAGAGTATAGGGCCTTATGTGGAATCCTGAGCCTCACATCCAGAACCTTCTGAGGAGGGACATTCCCACTTCAAAGGACATGCAGACCAACCTTAAACTGCTAGAGCAACAGAAGATACTTCTTGAAAGAAAGACCAGCAGAGAAACAAAACAAAAACAAAAAACCCAGCAGACTGACTACTACAATAACAAGCAAGCTGTTAGCCTGGGAGCCATCAAGGTAAGCTATCAAGTCCTTTCAGGACAAACTCCCTTCCAAGATTGAAAGTTAAAGAGAACACATGAGCAGGTTTGTAAGCTCCCTGGTGACCATGTTAGTCTATTTGTGAATGGAAGTAGGGGAAAAACAGTAATGAAGACATGGGCTGAGTTCAACCATATTCCACAGACTCCTGTTGACCTTGAGATGAGAGAGAAAAGAGGTAGGGCTGGTTGGTCCGAAGTTTAGGGAGACCTTGGAATTCCTGAGCCCATGAACACTGAGCTAGCCACTGGGGGCTAGAGCTGAGGGTGAAGCATCCAGTTGATATGAAGTGGGGGGGAGGCGGCCAAGAATGCCCAAATTTGAAGATAGTACCCATTTGACCTAGCTTGGATGGCTTGATGATTAGAACCTGACCAGAGGAAGATAAAGAAATTTGATACAAGAAGTAAGTGTAAATTGCTGTAATTTGATGAACCTGACCCAAACTTATGGATGTAATAGCTCAAAATACCAACTGAGAGGGTAAGAGTCTTCAAAGATCATGACTATCCCCTCAGTACACAAGGTGGATAGGAATGGGCAACTGAGACACTGGCTACCAAAAATGGTGGGGGTTATGAAGGCATGAAGTGGCTGGCTTACAAGTTTTCAAGAAGGAGTTTAGTTTTAGAGTGGGGGGGGGGGAGAGGTAGAATTTCACTGAATAGTTTTCATTTGTCTAGATGGGTATAGTGAAAGGAGATGGGGATAGGATTCTTCTAATTCAACAGTAATTGTTATCATGACTAACTGTGATTGTCACAACTATAAATGTAGAAGTTGTGTAACAAAAAGAGGGGAGGAGTTAATCTTACATTCCAGTAATAGGGGACCCTAGGACAATCACGAGGGAAGAGCATAAGCGGAATGTGGGATCCTAACCAGAGAAGCAGTGACACCAAAGATGGCATGGAGAGATAGAGTATCGGAGGAAAGACAAAGGCTATGTGCTGGTGGCCAGGAGGATGGCTTGCAAAACGTGCCCTCTGGTTGTTTAAACAACTATACATTCCTGTGTGTTTTTTATACACCAAAACAAAACAAAATGAGTGGGAATAGAGGTAAATACTGTTAACCACTGATGCATGGAGGGGACTGTAATCATTGCAGTGAAACAAAATACTATTGGTTAAGTACAAAACCAATGTTCTGCCATGTAAACTATCACTCATTTCACAATAAAAGCTTTAAAAAAAAGAAAAAAGCTCGTGAGCAGTCATCTAAGGTGCAATTATTGGTCTTTTCTGATGTGGTACTGTAGGATAAACTACAAAGTTGGTTTGAACCACAAGGTTGGTGGTTCAAATCACCAGCTACTCCTCGGTAATCCCACAGGCTCGCTATGAGTCCAAACCAACTCAACAGCACATAACACAACAACAACCTGTCTAAGCAAAGAGTGAAGAAAATCAGCACACATAGCAACAATTACTACAAAGGACTAATGGACCACTTCAGCCTTAGCCTCCACACATCTAAACTAGAAGAACTGGATGGTACCTGGCTACCACTGCCAACTACTCTGAAAGAGACCATTAATAGGAGCTTCTGGGTAGAGTGGGAGAAACACATGGAACTCATAATAATAAAAATGAGCAGACTTATGGTCTGATAGAGACTAGTGGAACCTCTGAGACTATGGCCTGGAATTGAAATCATCTTTTTGATTCAATTTTCAGCCAAATAATAGGTATAAAGTGAATACCACCAGGGAGGTATGCACTCCTTAGATCAATCAACCATACCATATCAACAGTGCAGCTTTTGTGCAGCAATGAATACAGCTCAGCAGACAGGAAGGGAAGAGGAATGACAGACATGGAGAGGAAGTGGGAAGAGTACTGTTACATCATGGGGTTCCAGTCAATGTCAGGAAACAAATGTGTAAGAAACATTCAATGGAAAATCAGTTGGCTCTGTAAAATTTCACTCAAACCAAAATACAAAATATTTGATAACCATATTTTATAACATCTTAGTCTATAATTAATAGTCTGTAGCACAGTCCACATGAAAGTAGTTTAACAGCTGAAAGCAGCTAAGTATAAGGGCCTATAAACCCTTAAAAATAAAATATATGTAGGCTTTTGGTGTAATTTTTTTATCTTTTTATTTTGAAATAATTATAGATTCATAGGAATTTGCAGAAAAAATAAGAGGACCAGTGTACTTTTCACCCAGCTTTCTCCAAAGGTAACACCTTGCAGAGAACAATATCAAAACCAGGAAATGGAAACTGCAGAGCTTATTCAGATTTAACCAGTTTTCCATACAAGGGTTGTCAAAAAGTTTAAAGAAAAATTTCATTATCATTTAATTTCATTCTTCCACAAACTTTTTGATGCCCCCCCTCACACAATAATCTGTGTGTGTGTGTATAGTTCTGTATAATTTTATTACATGTATAGATTAATGTAACTCCCACCACAATCATCCTACAGAACTAGGCCATCACTACAAGGCCTCTTGCAGCCACAATCAATACGTAAATGAAGGAGTGTGTAAGTGCTCCAATAAAACTTTATTTACAAAAACAAAATGTGGGCTGGATTGGCCTAGGCGTCATAGTGTACCCACTACTGAACTACTTTATAAATATCATAAAACATCTAGATCCTTAGTTTAACATTTTCATTGGATAAACGAGGAAACCACAGTTCAAAAAGATTAAATACTTTAATCCATTTAACCATCAAAATGTAGACTCTCAGGCTGTTTCTTACTGCTAATCCAGTATTGTGATGCACAGACATATGGTGCTAATATGTAATTATAGATTAATAGAGAACAATGTATGCAACTCAGATGTTACTTACTTAGAAAGATTTTCAGAGTCAACCACTCAAGATCAAAAGGGCAGCATTTACCTGGGGACAAAGTTCAGAGGATTGGGAAGTGGGGAGGAATGGCTACAAGAACCACAGGAAAGAACAAGGATAACTGTTGTTTCACAGAGGGGATTGCAATCACTGAGATGAAACAAAGGGTGTGATTTGTTGGATAATAAAACGTTTCATTAAAAAAAGGATTTTCAGAAAAAATTGTTATGTTAAAATATAATCTTAGAACAACTTGTGAGATTTTAATTTTAAAATGAATTTTAAAGGAGTGATCATCGGTGATGCACAGAAAAAATGGATGGGAGATATACTCAGAGAATGAAGTTCACACAGCCAAGAAAAAGTCAGCTTACTAGAAATGATACATTTCTCTACTTCATGCAAGTTTATATTAGGGACAATGGAAAGCATCTTTCTTACTCAGAACATACATTTTTAACATTTATTATCCTAGGTGCACCAAACTTCTCCTTTTAGCCAAAGCGCAAATACCTGTAGTTGGCAGGCAAGGTTACATGTCTCTGCACTGGAACATTTTTGAATACTTCATTTCCATGAGCTGTGTAAAATATGTAAGGTGGTATTGCAGCACCAGACTTAACTCCAAATGGATTTCCTTTATCTCTTAACAGTGCTGGAGTAGGCTTCCTGCTGATAGAAAAATCTGAAGAAAATCCTGGTTGTCTGAGGGTTGCTTTCGGTTTCCCTATGAAGTCAGACATACACAATAGAATCAGTTAGCGTCCTCAAATCCTGGTTTTATCATGTGCCTTCCCTGATGAGACGTTTTAAATGGGTCTCTAGTCTCAGAACTGTTAGTAAAATAGTGAGGAGGACTACCACTGGAGGCTTGGTCACTAAGGGAAAAGACGACTGGCTTCAGAATGTGTCCTCATCTGCCAGACTAATGAGTTACTTTCCTTCTATTCATCAATTTACCAATTCAATGGCTGCCACCCAGGTCCTTCCCAAGTCATCACACTCAGTCACACCCAGCCCTCCCATGTCGTCTTCATCAATTCAGATTCTACCCACTGTTTGACATCTAGGCTCAAGTCTCCTGTTTGGCAGGAAGCTTTTCACTGCCATTGTCATTCACAGTGATCAGTCCTTGACTAAAATGCTCACTGTGGCATTCAGTCTCCTACTGTTTTGTATTATCATTGAGCTATATTTTTAAGAAGGGAGTTCTGGTGTGGCACTGTGGGTTAATGCACCAGACTGAAAAGCCTTGAATTGCAAGGTCAGCGGTTCAAGCTCACCAGCTGTTTCTTGGAAACCCTATACAGGGTCGCTATGGGTAGGAATTAAGGAGCTCTGGTAGCGTAGTGGTTACGAATCGGGCTGCGAACCTTAAGGTCAGCGGTTCGAAACTACCAGCCGCTCCGCGGGAGAAAGATGAGGCTTTCTACTCCCGTAAAGATTTACACCCTCGGAAACCCTGTACAGGGTCGCTATGGGTCGGACCCGACTCGATGGCACTTAACAACAACAACAACAACATGGGTAGGAATTGACTCAACAGCACTCAACAACAACAACATATTTTTAAGAATTTAAGTGCTCAGGAAACACAGGCTGAGTTGGCTATAATGCTCATGTATACTGTATTATTTTCTGAAAAGAGAGGTTTTGTATTAAAAGACATTTTTTGCTATTGATGTTCAATGCTGTCAAGTCAACTCCACCTCACAGTGACCCTAGAATGAAGCACTGCCTGGTCTGCACCATCCTCACTTGCTAAGTTTGAGCCCACTGTTGCTAAAGAAGACGTGAATCTTAAATTCTTGGTCAGTCCAACATTCTAGATGAGGCCTTCCCCCAAAACAGCATAAAACAATAAAAGTACACTTTATCATAAAGTTATTGTTGTTGTTAAGTGCTGCCGGTCCCGACCCATAGCGACCCTGAACAGGGTTTCCGAGGCTGTAAATCTTTACAGAAGCAGAAAGCCTCATCTTTCTCCCACGGAGCAGCTGGTAGTTTCAAACTGCTGATTTTGCGGTTCACAGCCCGATACGTAACCACTAGGCTACCAGAGCATAAAGTACATGTTATCAAAAGCTTCAAGTTATTTCACACTGAGTAATTACTTCGCTAGGTAAATCGTGTTCATCACATTCACTTAATGCTTTAAGAGATAAGATGTTTATCATAAACACAAACAACATTTCCATAATTCGTTATACCAAGGTATTCGTAGCTAATCTTAAAGATGTGAGTAGGAAAGAAGCTCTTCCTTACCTTCTAGAAAAAAGGGCATTGTTTTCTTCACTCTCATTTGGCAGTTAACTTGCCGTCCTGCTTTCCTTTTAGAACTCCTCTGACGGGCCACAAGCTGAGCAATCCGTGCAGTTTCTGTGCATGCCACAGCATAGCAGATAATCTGTTCATGACAGGTGGGGCAAGGGGAGAAACATTTCTAGGTTAACTGCGGCCCAGAGGTCAATTTTTAAACATGGATCTCAGTGAGGCTATGTGTCCCAGATCAAGCTGTACACAAATCTTGTCTTTCTCTCCTTGATAATATTACAGCCAACTTGTATTTTCTACAAGAGTCCAATCAAGCATAGTCTAATACATTTAATAATCTTTTTTCCCCAAATTAAAATTTTCATTCATTCCTTTAAAAAGTACTTATTAAACATCTACAGTGGACTACGTACTATGGGATTAACAAACGAAAGAGAAGAAACCAGGTTTTCATTTCAGGCGTGAAAATTCATGGAATACTAAGTGTGATTCTGCATATATTACGTCATATAATCTGTGAGATATGTTTGAATCCCATTTTACACATGGGAAAGCAGAAGCTTAGGAAAGTTAAACAGCCTTTTCAGGTCACTCTCTGATCCATTATTAACTTAACTCATGCAGATATTTGACATTCATGCATCCCAACTATTAGGGGTAAAAAAACAAACAAAAAACACTTTCTCATCAAAAACTGATGAAGAAATCAGAGAGGCAAAGAAATGAAATACAAAACCTTACTGCATGTTACAGTGCTTGTATGGTAGGGTGTCAAGGAGAAAGAAAGGAGGGCTAACACCCACGAGAGTTGGTCAAGGGGATTCTCTATCATGGAAGCAGTTTTATGACTACCATAATACTTAGTTAATTATGCCAACTTACTCCTTCTTCTCAATAAAAAATCATTAGAGATAAAGCTAACTTCCCCTTTGACAGCTCCCTTGATCCTGATTTCTTTCTCCTGCCCTGCCCTCCCTTCCCACAACAGAGGCAGCACTATCACCAGTTCATGTGAGAAAGACTTTAGACCCATTCTATGGACCTATATACTCAGACATGTACCCAGAAAAAAATGCTGTTACTTGGGGTAGATGTTTTTAGTTTGGGTGGTGGTTTGTCTATATTCTATCATACTGTACATTAATACCAAGAAGTGAAACTACTGGCTTACAGAGTATATGAAATATCTACCCGCTACCAACAAACTGCCTATTGTTATATATAAAATATTATCTTTCTGAAAAACTAAAGCATCTAAACTTGTTGAATAAGATACAGGGACTTCAAAGAGTTTGTGGAAAAATGGAATGAAAAGATAAAAAGAAAAAATAGAAGCTTTATTTCTCAACATAAACTCCATCAAGTTCAAAACACTTTTGTAAATGCTATCAGCCATGTGTTGTTGTTAGGTGCTGTCCTGTCAGTTCCAACTCATAGCAATCTCATTTACAACAAAACAAAAGCCTGTCAGAGCCTGTGCCATCCTCACAGTTGCTGCTGAAACTGCGTCAATCTATTCTGTTGAGGTTCTTCCTCTTCTTCACTGACCCTTGACTTTTCTAAGCATCACATGCTTCTCCAGGGACTGGTCCCTCCAGATAACATGTCCAGAGTATGCGAGGCAAAGTCTTGGCACCCTCACTTCCAAAGAGCATTTTGGCTGTACTTCTTCCAACACAGACTTTTTTATTCTTTTGGCAGTCCATGATACTTTTAATATCCTCCTCCAACATCATAACTCAAAGGCATCAATTCTTCTACAGTCTTCCTTTATTCAATGTCAAATTTTCACATGCATATGAGGCAATTAAAAATACCATGGGTTGGGTAAGGTGCACCTTAATCAATAGACTGATGTCCTTGCTCTTAAACACTTTATAGAGCTCTTTTGCTTAAGATTTGCCTATTGCAACATGTCATTTGATTTCTTGACTACTGCTTCCATAAGCATTGATTGTGGATCCAAGCAAATGAAGTCTTTGATGACTTCAATCCTTCCAGTTCTGGGGTAGTACTGTAGGATAAACACTGGGCTGCTAACTACAAGATTGACAGTTCAAACTCATCAGCCCCTCCTTGGAAATTCTATACAGGGTCACTATGAGTTAGAACTGACTCATATAGTACTTAACAGCATTAATTGGTCCAGTTCTAAGGATTTTTGTTTTCTTTACATTGAAGTGCAATTCCTGTTGAAGTCTTTGATCTTCATTGGTATTTTCAAGTCATCTTCATTTTCAGCAAGCAGAAACACTAGCCAACAACATAGACATCTCAGTTGGTTCACCTTACCTAGCTCTGATTGAAAAAGTAAAGTTGAGCAAACTTTCTGCTCAGTGGGTGGCAAAGCTGTCTTGTCACATCAGCTGCAGACAAGAACAAAGCTTTCAGTGGAAATTTTAAACAAGTGGGATAAAGATCCAGTACAGACAGTTTATTTGAATGGTGAATGGATACATTTTAACTTCAATTTTTAAAATTTAATGTGATGAAAATCTTATTTTTACAATGAAAAGAATCTGAGGGATAAAACTAAAGACATCATTCATTGGCTCTAGTCTATTTTATAAATACTGTTCTATCACTGCTGATTTCAAACCATTTAGCTAGTGCTTTTCCAACTGACTGTATTTTAGTTATGACATTAGAAGTGCTGGGCAGGCCCTAAAGAATGGATTTGAGCCTTCTGATAGACAAAATAGCCTTCTTACCTCTCCAGATCTACTAGGCTCTATCCTGACAACTGTTGGCACACTTCTCAGGTAGGTTTCTAGTGTGGGGTAACCTAGCTGCTTGAATGGGATCCAGTCTCCAGTCAAAGATTTGTACTCTCCTTGGAGCCGGGGTAATGCTATTCCATTCTTATGAGACTGCAGAACAGCCCGTAGCATCTTTGAAACCAAATCTGCTTCCAGCATCTTTACCTAGAAGAACACAGTAGATAGACGGTTACTATAACATGACACATTAGTCTAAATATTCAAATAGATTTTAAGACCTGAAACTTGTTAGATTATTCCCTAATGCATTACTGAATAGTTTCTGAATTACTACAATACAGGGAACTAACTGTCACGGATAAGAACAGTAAATACCATGAGAACACAGGAGAAAGTAAAAAAGGAACAAAGTCCAGCCTGGGGAGACACTACATTAGGGCATGTCTCCCAGCTCAAGGGAGGCCTGAATGGAGTCTTAAGAACAAGATGCAAACAGCTAAGCAATAAGAAAAGGATAGGAAAGTGGGGAATGGGATCAGCCAAGAAAAGAAGGCAGGATATGCAAAAGCACAGAAATGAGAGAGAGGCATACAGGGTGCTCTGAGAATTCCAATGGGGGGCACTGGTAATTCTGTACAGGAGACTTGGGTTCAATTCCCAACAATGTACCTAATGTACAGCCACCACCTGTCTGGTAATGGAGGCCTGTGTGTTGTTGTGATACTGAACAGGTTTCATCAAAGCTTCCACACTAAGACAGACTAAGAAGAAAGGCTTGGAAGAAGAATCTACTTCTGGAAATCAGCCAATGAAAATCCTCTGATCACAACAGTCTCATTCACAACTGATCACAGGGATGGCACTCTCCTTCTGTCATACATGGGATCACCATGTATCAGGCGCCAACTCAATGGCAGCTAACAACATATGTCTGGACAGGACCGAACAAGGACTGCGAGCTAAGTACTTGGGAGATTTTAAATAGGAGAATAAAATGATCAGCTCTGTGTTTCAGAAAGTTGGGAAGATAAATTTTAAAGGAGTAAGATAAATAAGTAATAAGAATACCTGGAAATGTGGAAGATCTGAAAACAGGGTTTAGGGATTTTAAAAAAGTCAATTTGAGAGTTAATTGAGGTGAAATCCACAGGAATTGATTACTAGATTTGCATACCAAAAAATTTACTGTATGTGAAATATATTTCAACAAACCTGGGGAAAAGTAAAACAATAACAAAACACAAGTTCCTTCAAATTGTTCCCCTTTATAGTCAATTCTCCCCGCTTCTACCCCTAACCTTCTACCCTGCCACGTACACAAACACATGCATACACACCTCCACCTCTCTGAAACCACTAATCTGCTTTCTGTTACTACAGGTTAGTTTTATCTAGCGCTTTTTAATGTCATCCAGGTTACCACCTTTATGAGCAGTTCAGTCCTTTTTATTGATGAGTGTTTTACTTTATCTTCAGCAAAATTTTACTTGTGTGTGATATTAATGATATTATACAGTAATTTCTGTTTTCTATTGGACCCTTTTCTTTGGAATGGGCACAAATACAGATCTCTTTCAGTCAACTGACCAGATAGCTATCTTCTAAATTTCTTGGCAAAGACAACTGAGTACCTCCAGTACTGTATTTGTTTATTGAAACAGTTCACTTGGTATTCTATCAATTCCTAGGGCCTTGTTTTTCAACAGTGCTTTCAGTGAAGTTTGGACTTCTTCCTTCAACACTATTAGTTCTTGACCATATGCCACCTCCTGAAATGGCTGAACATAGACCAATTCTTTTTGGCATAGTGACTGTGTATTCCTTCCATTTTCCTTTGATGCTTCCTGCATTATTCAATATTTTGCCAATAGAATCTTTAATATTGCAGCTGGAGGCTTGAATTTTCTCTCCAGTTATTTCAGCTTGATAAATGTAGAGTGTGTTCTTCCTTTCTCGTCTTCTAACTCCAGGCCTTTACACATTTCATTATAATATTTTACTCTGTCTTCTTGACCTGCCCTTTGAATATTCTTCTCAGCTCTTTTATTTCATTTTTTCCTTTCACTTTAGCCTTGCTAGGTTCAAAAGCAAGTTTCAGAGTCTCTTTGACATCCATTTTGGTATTTTCTTTATCTTTTTAATGACCTTTTGTTTTTTCCAGATATATACTCCTTGATGTCATCCTACAACTCAACAGATCTTTGGTCATTAGTGCTCAATGCATCATACCTATTCTTGAGATGGTCTCTAAATTCAGGTTGAGATATATTCAAGGCCCTACTTTGGTTTCTATGGACTTGTAATTTTTCTTCGCCTTCAACTTCAACTTGAATATAAGCAATTAATTGTCTGCTCCACAACTGGCCCTTGGTCTTGTTTTGGCTGAAGATATTGAGCTTCTCCATGTCTCTTCACACAGATGCAGTCAATTTGATTCCTGTGCATTCCATTTGGTACGGTCCAGATTGTTGTTGAAAAGGGTATTTGTAATGAGTAAATCATTGGTCTGCAAAATTCTATCATGTGGTCTTTAGCATTGTTTCTATCACCAAAGTTGTATTTTCCAACTACCAATCCTCCTTTAAGGGGCTCTGATAGCATAGTGGTTATGAATCAGGCTGCTAATCTCATGGTCAGCAGTTCAAAACTACCAGCTGTTCCGTGGGAGAAATATGAGGCTTTGTGCTCCCATAAAGATTTACAGCCTCAGAAACCCTGTACAGGGTCACTATGAGTTGAAACCGACTCCACGGCACACCACCACCACCAATCCTCCTTTATTTCCAACTTTCACATTCTAATCACCAGCAATTATAAATACATCTTGATAAAAATCTTCTAATTTTTCATCTTTGGTATTAGAGGTTGGTGTGTAAATCTGAGTAAGAATTACATTAACTGGTCTTTCTTATAGGCATATTGATATTATCCTGTAACTGACTGTGTTGTGTGTGCTTCAGCATAAATCTTGAAATGTTCTTTTTGACAACAAATGCATTGCCATTTCTGCTCAATTTGTCATTCCTGGCATAGCAGATCATAGGACCATCCAATTCAAAATGACCAACAGTAGTCCTAGTCAGCTAATTTCTAAGTCAGCTATCTTTATACATAGCATTTTATTTTTGATGGTATCCAATTTTCCTACATTTATACTTCATACATTCCAGAATCCAATTATTAATAGATGCTTTCAGCTTTTTATGCTCATTTTAAGTCATGCCACATCAATAAATTAAAGTCCTGAAAGCTTTACTCAATATCATTAGGGCTGATTCTACTTTGAGGATGCAGCCCTTCCGTAGTCATATTTTGAAGGCCTTCTAGTCTGAGTGGCTCATCTTCCAGCACTATATCAGGAAACATTCCGCTGCGATTCAGAAAGTTTTCACTGGCCAATTTTTGTTTTTTGTGTTTTTGGAAGTCCTTCTTCCTAGCCTGTCTTAGTGTGTAAATTCCGCTAAAACTTGTTCACCATGGATGACACTGTTGGTCTGGCATAGCTTCCAGCATCGCAGTTAACATTCAAGACATCACAGTGTGAAAAACCGATAGATGAGTGGTGATTTCCATTTCGGAGTAATATAAATAAGGCCATTTTGAACATTCATATACAAATCTTTGTATAGACTTGCTTCTATTTCTTTTACATAAATTCTGAGAGAGAGGTTTTCTAAAAGTTAATACCCATAATAACGTGGAATCGGTTCTGACTCATAGCGACCCTGTACAGGGTTTCCGAGGCTGTAAATCTTTATGTGAGCAGAAAGCCTCATCTTTTTCCTGCGGAACAGTTGGTAGTTTTGAACTGCTGACCTTAAGGTTAGCAGCCTGACTCATAACCACTACTCTACCAGAGCTCCTTATAATACTTGGAAGACAGTATTATTATTCCATAGAGAAGAAAACCAAGGATCATAGAAATTAAATAGCTTAACCAAGATATCACAGAATGTACAGAAGCCAGAATTTTAGTCCTGCTCTGTTTGATGCCAGACTCCACATTCTTTCCATTCTATTACCCTGGTTACTGTTATTTTTAAAACATCCTGAAGAACTAACACAAAAGAAGAATCAAGAAAGACAGTAAGTATAGTCAGAGAAAAAAAGTGATGTGGAATCAATGACAGCCTTGTCATAAACATAGGGAGGGTATGGGACAGCTGGAGGCAGGGATAAGAACATTCAAAGAGCAGACAAATAGTCTGAGCACCTTCAACCCTTGAAATCCATGGTTTGTGTGTGCTGGCAAACAAGAAAGGAAGAGGACTTCAGAATCAAATATATACTTCCTTGTTGCCATATGTTTAGTCTGAAGTAGAAACTTTGGTTATTAAATAGTAATCTCAAGATTACAAGGGAGATAACTTTGATTCACAATGGTTCACGACTCAACAGTCAAAAATTATTGAATTTTTGCTACTTACTTTCTCAAGTAGTAAAAACTATATTTGTTGTTGTTGACAAGTACCATGGAGTCAGTGCCGACTCATAGTGACCCTGCACAGGGTTTCCGAGGCTGTAAATTTTTATGAGAGCAGAATACCTCATCTTTCTCCCGTGAAATGGCTGGTAGTTTCAAACTGCTGACCTATATTGGAGGCTGGTCAATTTCTGTGAGAAGAGATCACTTGCTTACTTCCCCATGCCAAATCTCCCAAATTTCTGTTTGATTCCACCTTTCCTACCTATCTACACTCTTATTCTCTTAAAAAAAAAACTATCCCCCCTATTCATTTAGATAGAGCTCTTCTGAGTAAAACTGGGCTTTTTTCACTTTTGTGTAGCTGAATATCTAAGTGGATCTTAGATATTTATTATATACACATACATGTAAACACCTACCACCTATCTGTCGGTTTGTTGTACTGTGGTGATTTGTAAGTTTCTATGACTCCTGGGGTGGCAATGTAAGATAAGCACTGGACTGTGAAGCCACCAATCGCTCCTTGGACAGTCTAGGCAGGGTCATTATGAGTCGAAAACAACTCCATGGCACTTAATAACCACAACAACATGATACAGAAAGTTATGCCATCAGTATTTCAAATACCAGCAGACTCAGTCTTGGTAGACAGGTTTCAAGGCCTAGAGATCTACTTCCAAAAATCAGTCATTGAAAACCCTACAGGTCACAACAGAAAACTGCCCAGTATAGTGCTGGAAGAGAAGTTCCTTAGGTTGGAAGACACCACACAGTCCAT